TATATTTATTTTTTCTCAAGAAGACACACTAGGGCTTATTTTCAGGTGATGTCTTCCTCCCCACACCGAAATGCATGGTGTGGCTATGCAGTGTATCTGCCCATTGCTAGGTCTTATTACGGGGTAGGGTTTATATTTAACAAATGCATAGAAATCCTGCTAGGGCTTATTTTGGGGATCGGTCTTATTTTCGGGGAAACGCGGTAGTTGTCATTGTTTGGCAGACCCGGGCTGGATTTGAACCTGCCAGCTCTGGTGTATGTGCTGGTGCCTTAGCTGCTTCAGCTACAGGCGCGGAGCCTAAAATGACCCTTTTTGTTTTGGCTGGGGCCAGGTTTGAACCCGCCACCTCCGGTATATGGGGCCTGTGCCCTACTCCTTTGAGCCACAGGTGCCACTGGTAAACTGAGCTTTTTAAGACGATATTCTTCTTATTGTAGACAGAGGAATTAAAATTTGGTAAAGAAGTATATTACTACTGAGGTAGTTGGGGATTCAAAAGGCTTTTGTGCCATCCAGTTTGATACTATAACTATTTTTTAAACTTTATTTTGATCTATGGACTATCTTTATGATAGAGAAAGTATTTTGGAGAAAGAGAAAGTAATTTTAAGAAAGTTAATTAGGCCCCTGCTTTATAAATCAGGAAAAGTTACAAAACTTTAAATGTGTGAATCCCTGCCTGCGAGGTAAGTGAAATAGAGGTTCTATTTCTTACTCTGCTGTCTTTAATTAAAAATTCTTTTGAGGGCTGTGGCTGCAAGGAGTAGGGTGCCAGCCCCATATACCAGAGGTGGTGGGTTCAAACCCCGCCCTGGCCAAAAACTGCAAAAAAAAAAAAAAGTTCTTTTGCATATGCTGACGTTTAGCCTTTGCTAGAAACAAAGAGTAAAGATGTCAACCCTGAGGGTTTCCGGCCTGCCTAGGAGGAAGACACCAAAAGTCAAAACATCTGAGAGGGCAGAATATTTTTACATCAACAATGTTGGACAAGCAGGGAAATGATAATTTCCTTTCCTTCTGTTTAGTCAGGCTATATTTCCTGTTATCCCCTCCACAAAGTGTTCTGAGACTCTCAAAGTTGTTTTAAAAGCTGTAAGATGTTTAATTATTTTCTAAAACATGTAAGACCAAAAACGA